GTTATATTGTATTTAGTCTAAGAATCTAAATATAATGTAGTCAACATTAGTGTTACACAATGTTTTATTTTATTGTTTGGTTAAAGAATTCGTCCAGTATGGTTGAGGTGGCACAGCTAGAAACTTCAAAGGGCAGGTTAAGTGGCTTGCTGTGTTGCCACTAAGGTATTCCTGTCAGGCGATCTATGCAGCTCTCAAGAATAGTGGCCTTTCTGTCCACCCAGTACCTCGCAACAGACCTACATACTTAGGTTAAGCGGAAAAAAGGAGTGTCTTAAAAAAACTTCGTGTATGGCAAAAATTAAATGTATCCCAGATAGTTAGCTCAACTAATCTAGGTGTTAATTTACCTAGGTTCTTATTTAGTACCATTTATATCACAAGTCTTGACTCAATACATACCTAACCCAATTATAGAGTATTAATTTAATAATATTTTAATTAATGTTATAATTTAAGTTGTTACTCAGTGTTATCATTAGATTGAGATATTGTAAGTAGACTCATTAGCCAATTGCAAAACCAGCAGAATATTTTGACGAGTGTTCCACGTTCGATTCCTTATGAGTGGGTTGATTTCAAATGTACCTTTTTGTAATAATGTTTACAGTATGGCTATGTTGATACAGTATTGTATGTACTATGTTTCCATTCCTCTATGTATCTCCATTCCCCTTCCGTTCCACCCTTCAGTTTCAATACACAACTCCACTCCAATTGGCACATCCGCACCCTTCCACACATACAAACTCAACATGTGACCCTTTGTATCTGTTGTTATAATAATGTGGTTTTATTAATAAACTTGTGTTACTAATTACACACTTGTTTTAATTAATATGACCCATTAACAGGCTACAACTCCAGGGTACAAAATATAGTAGCTCACAACTACATTGTTAAAAGTAATAAAACGATAATCTTATAGTTCAACGTCACCAACTGGTGCTGGAAATAAATGGAAAATCCTTAAGGAAGAACACTAAGCTTTCAAAATTAAAATTAGGTTGCAATCCAAAACACACACGAATGTAGTCGATTCGCTACCAATGAATGAAGCACTGAAACAATATAAGCCCTTGACACTAACAAGATGAGGGTTTCAACAATTCCTTAGAGACAGGTTGAATTGCCCATCACCTTCACACGGATCCAAACTTTACATCTGGAAATGTAAATGCTGTTTGGTAGGCAATATCATTTAAAGCAGGCACAATCACCACTGACACACCTAACGAAAAATCATAAATTAAAATTTGCGATTATTTACCATTGATTGACTTCATAATGAGGAAAGAAAACAATGTTGTAAACACTACTATTGAATTTTCACACTTTTAAAATGTCGATGAAACTTCCTTCCTCAGACTGACAAATAAGAATGATACTAAAATATAGAATGATAATAAGAATTATTCTATTCTTTTTATTTATAATAATAATAAGATTCTATTTGAAATTTGAATATTATCTTTATTTGATTATATAAAGACCGTAAAATATTAAAGATTGGGAAAAGTTGTATAGGCCCTATTTCATATTTATTTTTTGGCAAATTCTCCATATAGGGAATAAGCTAATACCTTAGGTGTTATGGTATGACCCGGGCAAGGGACTGATTTAATTTTTCATTTTGAGGTCCACAGAAGCCAAAAACATCCTCCTTTCAAATTTACATATACAAATAAGGTAATGAATGACACCTATATATATGTACGTTAGCACACTAACTGCACACAAAAAAAAACCGGTTTTAAAGAAATTTGATACAAATGTGTAAACTTACGTTTATTAAAACGAGTTCACGAACCATTACGATCGGACTATGGAAACGGGGGTTTATGCTGTGATAAACATTCGGTTTTCCCATATTTTATCCTTAAAACAAAAATTCCCAATTTCCTTTTAAACCAGTTTGTAAAGCTAAACAAATAATAATTTAGTATATTGAAGCGTGCCTAACGATTACGGAGAAAATTAGAGAAAAGTGTAATGCCGCAACTCCTAGGTCTAGACTGAAGTAATGTGAAAAACAATCGCAGGCTCCTGCCTAGCATCCTAGGACAAAAAAAAAAAAAAAACGAATCATCGAGTCTTGTAAAAGTGTACAAACACAATAAATTTAGTCAGTTAATTGTGATCGTTGTTTACACTAACCTAGTCCTGCAGTTACGTGTATTAGAATCTATAATAGCCTAGAGCTGTTGCATCTACACTCCTCTACTATATACAGACCAGGTGTGCCTTCTACACTTGCCTTTGAGAGTTGATGTAAATATCGGCGCATTTCACATACAAATGCAGGACTGTTGTTTATAGACTAAATTATTTTTATAAACACCCCTTTACAATTGGAATATTAGTGAAAATTGAAATAGAATTCAAAGTGGTTGTGACTGAGGATTTTCTTTCTTCAAAACTTTTCCATTATTTTGTTACTTTGTAAATTGTTTGTCTAAATAGGCTTGTATATATATCCACAACTTATGTAGAAAATATATATACTTCTTTTGTACCAGTTTTTAAATAACTTATCAGCTTTGGTTGTGTAGAGTCTAAGAATGCGACCAAAAAATCTTTACATCAAAAGTAAACTTAAATAAGCCATGCAACCAATAGTAAAATATAATGTTTTTACATATAAATGGAACAACTAAAATGTTCATTAACATAACACTTTCAAAATATTTCTATATATAAACATATAGAATACATTAGGCTGGTACAGTGTCCAGTATAATGTTTTAATAACAATTAACCAATTTTCAATACTAATACATACAATTAAATGAATCCAAACGTCTAATGTATAAACATTGATTCAGGTCACCAGAAGTAAATAGATTTTTTTATTAATCTAATAATTTGGTTTACTGTACAGATTATATGTAAGGAATTCTTTTGCCTTCAGTTTTATTTAACATTATTTATCATAAATTTGTGATTGTCAAATTATTGTCAATTAGGGTTTAAAAAGTACTATTCGAAAGAGTATTTCATATGCGTCCAAAAGATTTCTATTTACTATCTATCAGCCCAACGAGTGAGATGTTTTATACCTTTTGTTGAATTTCTCAAAAAGATAAGAATCTATTTGGCTTAGTCATCATAAAAAAATCGCTTCTACAGCTGTAATCTGACATTGATTGTGTTACAGTAGTTCAAACCCTGCATTAGTTCGTTATGTTTTGCAGGCTGAGGTGGGGTTTCGGCTCCCTGTACTGAAACATCTCGAAACTAACTAACTAACTTACATACTCGTAAATGCAATTCCAATGCTGTAGCTGAATTGCGTCTGGAACACTGACTTTGGAGTTCACTTTCTCTTAAATCATTGCAAATATAAAAAAGGTTCATAGCGAAAAAATAATATTGTATTTCAGAACTGATTTACGATACTGACATTATTTTTTTAAAATTTAAAAACGTTTTCTTTAATTTAAAGCAGTAAATCTAGACAGATCATAATCAGAATTTGGAATGTAAAAATAATAGTCTGAGGAATTCAAAAGAAAATATTATTACATACCTGCATAATTTATTATTTTGGTAAGCCACTGTTACTTATTTGAAAGAAAATTATTTTTGCTCTGTAATAATAAAAATACGTTATCTTGTGTACTGTAATGAACAAGTTGTTAATCTCTTTTTAATAACTTTTATTTAACTTTATTATTTTGTCACTGTTAACAAAATAATAAGAATCTAGTGCGTTTTCCAAAATTAAACTATAGTAGTTTTTAAATTGCTGTAAAATATATAAAACAAATATAAAAAGTTTGGCAGTTTCATCCGCAGACATTTAGCAAAGATTGACTCATTGTTCATTCTCTCAGCGGAGTTACAACGTGATTGTGGACGACACTGATTGAATTCGTTATGTTTCACCAAGGGATGATAAACTAACGATTACTGGTTAACAACAACACTTCATTTTACTACAATATTAAGAATTGCAGTTTATTGAAACCATGATTATCATACAATATTCACAATTCAATGAAATTTATGTAAGTAACATTATTATATGAAATGCATGTTTAAATTCAGAGGAAACAACACTAAGAATTAAATTATATAGGGAGGTTAATCTGTAATAAAACATTGGTTTACTTTATGCCTAAACGCCTTTCTCGATATTTAAGACCGAATAATATTAAGACACCCTTTTGGCCGTAATTTTAAATTACTGCTACCATTCTGTAGTATTTCTTTATATTTTCCCTTAAAATAACAACCAACAAACGTTTTGACGGAATTTTCTTCCTGCAAGTTTACTTAAAAAAACCGTGTTTATCAACATATCATCACTGTATCATAACCTGTTCAAAAATCTTTATGACATTAATTTTGCATCGATATATCAATAGCTACTGACGATACTAACACATTGCTAAAGAACATTTAGTAAGAGGTTTTATTTTAAATATTTTTTAACAGATCCATTTTTGTAAAGCTTAAATTTTGTTGGTCGTATTTTAAGAGTTCTAATTAAAGTCTATCCATTGGTCTATTATCATTCAGATTTAGGTAGTACAAGTTTACTTATCCATAGTATGTCAATTAGGCTAAGGCCTATTAAAGTTATTCCGAAATTACATTTTCTAAGTGTACAATATAAACAACAGCCATATAAACAAAAAGTTATCAAAAATACCTTTGAAACCATTGCAACGTGCCAACTAACAACGTATAAAACATATCCTCAAAACGATTATTAGATCAATATAATGCATGAATGCCCTGAAAAGTGCTATAAATGGATGATATACTCAATAAAACGGTTCCTTAACGTCTTCCTTTGGGGAACGAAAAGGCGAAAACACATAATAGAGACCCTCAGCGACATGTAGATGAGGGATGACGAGTTTTTGATGTCCGCTGTTGTAGTTCAGTGGAAGGAGGGGGGGGGGGTAGAAAATGTAGGGGGTCGGTGAGGGTGTTATTTTTGGGGTGAAGGGGAGTCAACGTTTAGTGGTGTACTCGCGACGGCCCCGACAACATGTTCAGAGTTGTGTTTATATCATCTATCGTATGTACGTAGCTTTTCTGACTACTTTAAAAGATTAAATATATTCGGTGTGTGCTTAGTAGATTATAATGCTTATTATATACGTTTAATTAATTATTAAGGACACATTAAAAAATACCCCGCCTCAGCAAACCTGCAGACTAAGTGAATTTCCATTTGCTGAATGGATTTACACAAAAATATCTCCTTAAAAATATCACATTTATTCCCTATTTAAATAGAATTAAGGTTAAAGTGAAATGAAGTTTTAAGATTATAGTGAAGTTTGACACAATTTGTTGAAGCGACAAATTATGTAATATTTTAATACGTAAAAATATTACTTTTCCAGTTTCTTAGTTGTTAGTATATGTTTATAGTAACAGAAAATTACACTCACAACAAAACTGAGAAAACATAAATGTTAATGCATTAAGTATTTTTTGGTTACCTGATGTGAGGATCAGAAACAATAACATTTTCGATTGATACAATACAAATTACGACCATTTCCTATCAAGGAATTTATTAATATTTCTTACACGTAAGTGTACATATACTAAATGTAAACCACTGTATTTTATATGTAAATGGCCCTAAAATGTAACGACTACAGTCATTAGCCCGGAAACTCTTGTTTTTCTGGAAACATCTAGAAACTAATATTACATAACCCTCGTAACCTAATATAATACGTATGCGAAATAGATTAATTTGAATTAGTCAGCAATGTTTTACAGTTAAATATATTTCATTAAAAGAATGTTCCAAGAATGCTAACAATATAACAATTATAAATATACCAAAAGTATAACTAAATAAATGTTATTTGAGGGGGTTATTGCGGTCAATTCTATAAAAATTAGTAAAAACCAACTACGGACAATCCCGTCTCCAGGTGAGAAATTATGTAAAACATAACAAGATTAGTACACAAAGCTTGAAAATCAAAAATAAACCATATTTATTTCGCAAATTGTAATATTGTTATTAACTTGTTTGACTAAATACAAATTGGAGAAAATACGTACTCCATAATAAATAATAGTAAAACATGTTGATCATACCCAGTTAAGAAGTCCAAGTAATACAGAAAGTTAAATTAATTATAAATTCACTGAATGTCAATTGCAAATTAATATTTCCCTTGTAGTCTTAAGCTTTATTGTAATACGGTCTATGAAAATAGCATATTGATAGATATCACTAGTTCAACACGATAGTTAGCACTAGTTAGTTGGTTATTAATTGGTTCTAAGTCTTAATCGTAGGAGTAGAACATTATGTAGTTAAAAAAGTTAAACCAAGCTTTATACTAACATTACTTTGATTAATGCCATCTAATTTGTAAGTTCATATAGAGCCCGTGTAGTGGAAATAGTTAAGCAAACACAATATAAATGATGCGATTCACACACTAAATGACCCAATAGCCTAGAGAGCCTTTTTACATGTAGTAAATAATTCAACGTTTATTATGCTTCTTCTTTGAAGTTCAAGTGTTTATTTGATGTCAACTGCTTTTACCGCTTATACAAAAAAGAATTAACGGACGTTTGATGAATGGCAAAGGTTTCGATCACTAAAACAGAATGCTATAGATAACGATAACAAGTTTTTTAGGTTTAGTATAAAGCTTTGACGCTTTATACAGAAATCAGCTTTTGACATAAGCTCACTCTGTCGATGGCTTAATTTTAATAGTGAATCTTTATTGAAAAAGATTCCAGATGAAAATGTGAATGGGCAGTATATTTTTATAAATAGGAGAAGGCTTCAATCAAAGATGAGCGATAACTTTATTGAATTATCGTTGTCGTTACTTAGCACCCATAAAACAATTAAGTGTTTGTTTACTGTATAACGGTTTATCTATATATATAAAGTACAATGTATGTTTGTATGTTTGTATATTTGTATGTTTGTCCTTTATGGACTCCGAAACCGCTCGACAGATTGTAATGAAACTTTCAGGCATTATTAAGCATTATTCAAGGATGGTTTGTGTGAAGTTTGGTGCAGATCCGTCAAAAGGGCTCCGCCCCAGTGGCTCTGGAGTTTCCCATGTTAACCTTATGAGTACTCATATTTAAATGGAATTAAAGAATCTTAACAGCTGGTTCAACTAAACTATCTGATTCTGTGATGTTCAATAGCATTATAAAGTTAATAGAACTTTAACCAGGACATGATTGAGCCATGCGAACGAACTCATCTTGAAAATGAACGAGCATTTGACATAAATCCACACTGGGACAGGACGACGTCTGTCGGGCCAGCTAGTATAGACATAAAATAGAGTTTTAACGCGATCACTTAGTTATTTATTTACAAGGTAAAAAAAGAGAGCTTGAGGTAAATGTATCGATATCGAAACATGATCTTGTTCCTGCAAAAAGTAATTTTCAGCCTCTGGTGTAAAATATAGTGTTACGTGTGTGCTGTTCGTGATCCATAAATGAGCTCATACCATTGTTTGAACGAGATTTTTTTGTAACCACGATAGTAAATATAAGTATTGTGCAAAATATCGTTTTCATATTCAAGATAACATTACAAAGTGCAATATGATAATTGGGTGTTCAATATTTACTATCTAGAAATAAAGAACAAAGCAATTTTTTGTCGTGTGTAATTGCGTAGTAATATTGCACATTAAACAAACAGTTTGCAGGTTGTAATGTCCACAGACAGAAGATATTAAGTAGCTCGCAGCGTTTGTTGCTACATTTACTCGCCTCCAGTTCTGTAACTGTAGCCATCTATTAATTAGTCTACTGCACAAGATTGCCATGGGGTTCTATACAAACACTTTGTAAGGTGCTGTTAAAGTGTTGTTTAAACAACATTTAATCAACATAATTAAAATTTGTTTACACTAAAAATGCATTTGCCGTTTACAAAGTACGTGTGCACAAAAAAAGTTAATAGGAATGTCCAACATTTTGATAACTATTAGCCTTCTTATTAACCATTGAATATGTAAGTACATGAAAAAATAACATGACAAAAATTTTAATGTTATTGTATATAAATATTCCTTGATATAGTACATTTTTTTGACACATTTATGGTAGTTTTCCAATTGGATAGATGATGGTTAGAATGTCGTTGTTAAGGCCAAAACAGCACTGACTTTATTCTTAATGTTTTACTAATTTTAAAATCAATTGAATAAAATAGAATATCTTTATTTTAACCTTAGTTCTGGTATTGTAACCAGCAAACAAACATTGTTTGCAAAACGACTAATGTACACTTACCTTTAAAGAAGGGTGAAACATTAGGTTAAACATTATTATCACTTAATACTCATCGTGCCATGCCTGACTCCTTGAAATATGTATTATGTGTATAACAAGTTAATATGAAGTAATAATAAGTAGGTAGTAATAATAACACTATTGATAAGAAGTATAATAAGTAATAACATGAGTTGTCTTCAACTCACGTTGTCTTACTTATCATTTGAGGTTATTTCTATATCTACATATTAGGCACGTTTTAATAATAAGTTTTGTTGGTAAAACATTTGTAGTAATTTTCGGAAGTGAAAACGCAAACATTTAAGCAGTTTGTAAGATATCTTTAGCACGTGTAAAAAAGTGTATACGGGTTAAAAAAACTTTTAAAATTTTCAAACCCATATTAGAGTGTTCATAGCTATTTAAGATCACCAAGTAACGGATAATTCTCAAGTGATAATCGAGTTGAGTTTAGTACTCGAAACACTTGTAGCTTCCTGTTTACCTTCCGTTTTGAGATCGTTAAAAATAAACGAGTGCTAGTAGTTATTAATGAATAATGTTCCCTAAGCTTGATTTTTATCGCTAATAGTAGCAGAAGTACTAAATTGAAACACTGCTGTTTTTGCTAATATGCTAAACAAATCAACGGCACATTGTAAATTTACGGTAATGAAAACAATGCATTAACATACTTGCTGCACATTGTCATATTGCAGATCAATATGTAAAACAGCAGTAATAATTTACACGGCATTTAATGCTGAGTCAGATGGGATAGGATTTACAGTAGTTGATCTGCTGCGTCGGTTATTAAAATTGAAAAAAAAAAACATAAACTGACGCAGTAATAAACATGTTAGTACTAATTCATGCAAATTGCTGATCTTATATTGTATCATTGTTTTCATATTGTTTATAGAGTCATACATCAAATAGTATATCACTAGGGCCTAGAGTGACTTTTTTCGACACGAGGTCAAGTTTTACGATTGAGGCTAATGTCGGAAAATGAGCGGGGGTTAAAAAGACAATTGGGAAAATTTACAACTGAGTTGACAACAGTAGATTTTTACTCCCTAGAGATTAAAAACGCTAATTTAGACCCGCAACGCATTAATACAAAACGGCTGTTTTTGCTACAGTATTACGAAAAAATATCTACATACCATTTGCACAGGTTGTTAAATAAAATTAAGTTATTCAATTAATATTTAAATAACTTCTTGATCAGCATTGTACGTAAAATGCAGCATTGTTTTGTACGGAAAGTAAATAAAAGAAATGTCTTATATAATTAATATTTCATCATAACTTTATTCACGCAATTATAATCACCAATTAGTCTATATTTCTGACCATATTTAAATCATCAAAGTTTAACACTTGGATGATCGACTTCAGGACGAAGTACATTCTTCACAAAATAGAGCATATTTTGTGATTTCATTTAGGCCTGAAATATTGCACACTTAAATACTTAATGTTTGTACACATTTACTAAAGGTAAATATTTACCTGTAGCAAATGTTTCTGCGCAAACATTGGGCATTTGTGTGTGCAGTGATTTCAGGCTTGAATTAAATCACAAAAACCTTCCCAAAGTCCACTAGACCCTACGCTAAGCTGGCAAATAATGATAATATTAAAGTGTGTGACGCAATATCCCGAATAGTCACTGTATGACCTTAATCAAGTCATGAAATTTAGTAAAGGTCATCTTAATTATTATGAAATTTAGGGAATGTAAGAAGATCTGTAAATTGAAATCCGAAGTGATAATCTCAGTAATGGAATATATTAAAGTAAAATGATGATGTCAATTAATAATTAAATTCGGTTAAATAAAATGAACAGCTCAGTAATGAAATGCGGCAAAGTAAAATTATGATCTCAGTAATAAAATGAGTAGTAAGTAAACGATCATCTCAGTAATGAAATGGTGTAAAGTAAAATGGACATTTAAAAATCGAAACCCAACCTCGAGGGTTCATATTTGGACACACAATTATTATTAGAACAATGAATTGAGTTTGATTTTATAGTTTTATCTACTAAATCAGTTTACAAGTACCCTTATAAATAGATTCCAAACGATCACTTCACTAATATTCGCACTACCATTGCAGGGCTGCAGAGTGTCGGAACAGAGCCTCCAAGGTTTGCCTCTAAAGGACAAGAATATGAGGCATTAGAGGGCGACACGTTGCTTCTACCCTGCTCGGTGGAAAATCTCGGTGAGTTACAAACCAGATCTCGACAGGATTATGAATAAAAAAAAATTTTATTCTTACAGTTAAATCATTTTGATGTTTGTATTTGCAAATACTTGAAACGACTGAACAGTACATTATTAGCTACTGGAGTGGAGTCATAAGTTGATTAGTTTGTTTTTGGTTGAAGCTGACCCTTCTGAAAGGAAAAGGATTGCTTTAAATTTCTTTTACAATGTGACATTGCAGTACTCATGATAGCAGATGACTGTGAGACAGGCATAATACTTAATAATAATAATAATAATAAATTTTTGACCTCGGAACAATTTATATTATTTGGCCGTCCTATAAAACAGTATTGTACCTGAAGTTTAAAACACGTAATCCTATTGATGAATAGCAGTTGAATAATTAATTATACTAGAGGTCGTCCAGTGGTTGAAAACTCAACCAAAAATATCCAATGTACAGACTTCGCTATTTTCACCCCACACTGTAAATAAAACATGTGTTTGGAATTTTTACATTTGTTTTGATTTTCTGTGTGTAAATTTCGTTGTTATTTCGTCACCACTATAGCAACCCATAAAGCCCATGTTAATTTTTTTAACATTTCAAATTAATATTGTGTGCTTATTTTTGAGCCTATTCTAATTTTTAAAGGGATTCTGCACACCTACCGGAAAATATCTTTCTAACAGTATGCGTAGATTTTCCCTGCGATGCACACGAGCTGAGAAAAAAGGTTTTAAAGAAACATGCTTGCCTATTAATATATAGATAGATAAAGGTGTAAAAACGAAATAAAAATGTTAAGCTATGAAAACACGTCTGTACTAAATTATACAATCTATATTTCCAAATGAAACAATTGTTAGTGTTAACTAATCTCAATAACAACAATTTAGAATGTAACTTTCCACAACAGCTATATATTATATCAATGATAAAGTCATTATTATTTGGCTATTTTCCGTTACAATTATTGGTTTTACAGCTGAACCAGAGCACGAGAAATACTTTCAAGAGTTAATTGCACAACTAAGCCAGAGCGAACTGTTGCCGGGTTGGTTAGTTAAACATACTTGATGATCAAGTATCTCGTATTAAGCTCTACAACTCCCACATGATGAGCATTATGTGCATGCTGCTATATTTTACACGCCAATAATAAAGCCTAACATGGAGCGCGAGTATCATATAACAGCAACAGAATAAACACGATCCCAGCTCTCTACACTCAACTTTACTGGAGCATCAATAAACACTTCGTCGCATCGTCGCAGTTAACTAAGTTTATGCGATACTTTAACGGCTTACTTGCTTAAAATCTTCCGTCTTACTGGTTATGCGTTATATACGGCTTACTTACATGAGAGTTAGATTAACTATTCGTTTGAGTAATGGCAGTATGGTTTAAGTGTCACACAGAAAACCTATACAGTTAAATATAGTATGCAAGCAAATTTACCCAATGAATTTTTAAATGTGGGGATTGAAAGTATTATGTCTCTAACAAATCACCGTTAAGGTTTAAAGTTTTACTAAATATCTTTTCTACCACTGCACGGAAATGATCACATTGCCACACCTGTAAATAGCACGAAAAATAGCTTATTTCCATCTTTTTCATTCCCGCTCGCTAAATCAGCTGAATTCACTGTGAGCGTTTTTATAAAACACATCCGGTAATGCATCCATGAAAGTGATTAATTCATTATAGTTATTAAACTAAAAAAAAACTAGATCACCTATTTACAGTTAAAAATATCCCAAATGACGTTTTATATAGTACAACCAAAAAGTTAATCTGTGTGTTATGATATGTTAATAATGGTCGTAAAAAGGTCTTATTACGAGCAAAATCATTGCCGCTCTTAACACACAAATAGCAATACCAATAAATCATATCTCATTTTACAGCATGTAATTAACTATTAAAAATGCTGCTACAGAGCATAAATTATGCTCCACATCATGCCATGGAGTGTTTTAAGCTTTGTTTTTGTCTGATCTACGTTTGTAAAACAGAGGCTATTCAATGCAGGATTAGTTTCAAGCGTAAAGTGCGCGTCACTCTTGGTTCATTCATAAAAAAACAATATCGAGGTTTAAGCATTATATACCATTATTCACAGCTACCAAGTTTCAAAAAATTTTAAAAAATACTGAAAGTTCCCCTTCTCTCACTTTAAACAATACCTTCTACTGTATACAGTTCTATGTGCTTTACAACCAACACTGAGACAGGCAAAGACAGACACGCTGCAAAGTATTTGCATTATACAAATTCATTACATTGGGGTGTAATGATCAAATAGTGAATTTTAGGTCAGCAAAATGATAACCTAAATGATAAACAACAAATGACAACCGCCCTACAGGCAACAGTTGAACTAAACAAGTAAATTATCACTGTATTACTATCCTAGTAATACGACATAAAAATTTAAAGTCCTGAAGTAAAGTTTTGAAATCAAATCTTAGTTTTCCCTTTAGTAGTCTTGGTTTTCCCCAGGATCGCACGTCCTGCTGTGGCGCAAAGGTAACCTGATCCTTACTGCCGCCAAGCTGATGGTCGCCCGGGACTCCCGCCTGTCGCTCCTACAGGACCGGGACTACGACCTCAGGATTGCCAACATCACAGCCAAGGACGCGGGGCAGTACATATGTCAAATAGCAGACATCTCGTCACAGGACCAAGTCCACAAGGTCTCCGTGCTAGGTAATGTAGATAACAGCTGATTGTCAATTTAGCAACTCTTCTCCAGGACAACAAAAGCTGTGAAGGATTAAAAAAATTAACGTTTAGTAGCTTTTACGTAAGCGCAAAGGTTTGTATGCAAAAAATAATATTATATAAAATTGATGTTACATTATTATAATGCCAATTGTAAGCCATTTGGTTTTCCTCTTGAAACAGAAATTTTAACCATGAGCGATTTTCTACTGCTTTAAAATATATATATAAAAAAAAACTACTGCTTTAGGCCTTACTAATTCCGTGAATGTTCCAGCTCCGCCCAGGATTGTGTCCACTGCTGCCAACAGTCAACTGACCGCCAGAAAGGGCAGTTCCGTCACTCTGACCTGCTCTGCTACAGGGAACCCTCAGCCCACCGTGCTCTGGTCTAAGAAGGTACAAACTGTTCAGATGCAATTATGGCGTATTATGTTCAAAATATTTAATTGATTATAAGCGTGCGGTATTTTCTGCAGCTTGGCTCAGGCCCAGATAAATTTCAAAGCCACTTCTTAGTAGAATTCCTTAAAAACCATAAAATTGGTTACTCTAATCACGGGGTGTTATATAAGGTTTCATTTTGTTTTGTGGGTATTGATTAGCAGCTGCATAATATTTGTTATACGTGTTTAAAACCTGTTTTATCATTTTCAACACCATGAATATCTTATACATTTTTGCAAGAGAACAGTTTAAGCCTTGGTATATAATTTCGACATTATGTTATAAATAATCATTAAATGACAGCCCAATGATAGATTGAATCTTTGTCTGACATTTCGGGTTAAACCAACTATCCTCACATTTAAATAGAGTACAGTAGTTGTTTATTCAATGTCTCAGTATTGAAGCATTTAGTTCAACCGATTGGTTATTATGAGTTTTCAAAGAAAAAGGTAGAATATAAATTTATTTGTGTTGGAAATATAAAAATTGGTGCGTTTGGAAGTTTTCTATGACATTTTGAAACGTTAATCTTTTCTAGCTGTTTCCAAACCTTATAAAATATTGAAATCAAATGTACGAGACATATTATTACAACGCACTTCAAACATCTTTAATAACAATATAACTTCGGAACAAAGTAATCAACAATAGGTGTGATTGTCGAAAAGAGACATGACAGAAGAAATGAAAACATATGCGATTGAACTGCACAAAACATGATATAAGAGTTTGATTATTTTCCCACAGTTGGAATAGTGATCACTACAGTTTACTTGTCTACGATAGCCCGTATGTATAGCATATGACGTAAAATGCATCTGGAAGTACGTTATGAATTTTAAGGAAATTATTCCCAATACCATTATCGATATCAAAGACAACTTCGTTGTTATGGAAAGATAAACTTTTCTCTTTAACTTCTTTCTGAAAAGGAGTTCAAGGATCTGAGTTTTTATCTCGGATTGTAGGTCCCCATTATAAACTTCCTGACATCGACCCATTCAACCTGTATTATGCCTCACTTTTCCATTATTCTTTACAAAAGACTGGAAAACCAATCCTGAAACCTTCCAAAATACATGATTTAATTTGGATATAGATAATGAAAAGTAAATTCACTCCACACCTTAGAACGTGCTATATTTTGTGATAACAGCTCAAATAGAAAATTATTGGGATAAATATTTTTTCATGGTAATGCATTGTAATTGACATCTTAAAAAAAACAAAAAAAAACAAACACATTTAGAATAAAGTAGACAAGAGAATAAGATACGATTCAAATCTCATACAGGTTCCAAGTAAAACAAAATACTCTACCTGCTTACATAGAATGCTCAAAAGTTTAAAACTATATCTAAATCATGTGTCTTTAAATGCTTTCTAATTTTATGAATCATATCTGTTATTTTGGTGGTTAAAGCAATCAAAACAAATTGCAAAAGACAACAGTATCATTCAATTAAGTGTTTGATATTTACTTCACTGATTATTGGTCTAATTGAACAGCCTAACAGGGTAATGATGACAATAAGTGGCATGTTATTGCCAACTTTCATGGCTTCCAGTTCCGTGTCTTACTATCCCTTCTAAAATCCTCCCTTAGTAGGCTTTGGTAAGAAAACAGAAACCCTGCTTCTGCCCTTACTCGCCTATTCCGCAGAATATCCTACCCGAAAGATGTATATAAGTCATAGCATTGCAAATTGTCCACTAACTGACAGAAAAAAATCTATCGCTCAATGTGTCCATGCGATACTATTTCATCTGTATTAACTTAAATCCCCCCAAATGAACACTCTTGAAATACACTTGGCGTGCAACTACTTGGATGGAAGTTGGATTTTTCAAACTGATTTCGGATCAATTTTGGTTGGTTGGAGTAACTCATGTAAATTCAAGTGGGACATATTGATTCCTCAGGTTAGGATGTTTTAGAATTATAAATTGGTAACATAAACTAAATAAATTATTAAAAGACTCGTGAATTCCCAAAAATACATTTAGTATACAATGTTTTAACCACTCGCTGTCTTGATTTTGTAGGTTATACCTTTGACTATTAATACAACTAGACATTCCATCCCCATGGTTTATACTCGTGCAAATTCAACAGAAACTATTTCTTATGCTTTTTTCTACATTAATTCGACTTTTGTTAAATTAAAAGATGGAAATGGTCTCCTAGATCGCATCTCAGGAAAGTTGGTATCTCTGGTGAAGGAGGATTAAGGCCCCGCTTTTCTCAGAGTTGAGTAAGCTCTTATGTCATACATATTTAATGTTTGCTTAAACGCGAGGTGAGAACTAATTTCATTATGCAATTTACCTGCAGAAGTAAACTTTAACTCGACTTAATGAATCTTAAATTCATAAAAAAACATACTACATACCATGACAATAATACTATAAGTTAGTGTTAAGGTATTTGTATTTTGCAATACAAATAAATAAATAAGGTCTTTATTTGCAAGCGTTCATCAAAGTACAAACTCTGTTTTTCATGAAAACTTTTGTCAAACTAAGTAAATAAAACCATACAATAATCTGTACATAAAATCAAAAGTAAAAGTATCCATACAGTTTAGGTAAACATTTCTTTTACACATTTCTTAAACCTAGTATAACTGTACTCTCTCAAAGTGGGTGGGAAAGCATTATACTTTTTTGGGCCAAAGTAACTAAACCCCTTCTTCCCCGTTTCCAGTTTTGTCTTTGGCCAGTGCAACAGGCTGTCCTGTCGAGTACTGTGCTCATTGATTTCATGCATAAACACCAACCTAAGGTACTCAGATTTTCCCGTCTGAAGAACTTGTTGGACCAGATTTACAGTTAGTATGTCGGAGTACCCCATGATTGACAACACCTTGGCACTCAATCTGTACTCGCTAGTGTGATCAAATTTTTTCAGATTGTAGACAAGTCTAAGCACTCTGTTCTGCAGCCGGGTAAGGATCATTAAATTTTCTCGAGTTAGGCAACAGGAAAAAAGCAGGAATAGCATAGTATATAACAGGGAAAATGGTTGAACAGACAATTTCCAGCTTAGAAAGTTATGGAAAAATTGAGCTTAGTCTGCGAAGAGTTTTTAAACGTATTGTTACTGTTTTACAGATAGCTTTGACATGGTGAGAAAAATCAAGTTGGGAATCGAGAGTAACACCGAGAATCTTAAGAATATTACTTAAAATTAGTGGTTTGCCATCAACAAAGATACACTGTTCAACACAACTATTCGCTGAGTGGGCACCCGAATATGGCCTATCTACAAGCAAGACAGAACACTGGAGTTCAATACTGGAGTTCAATAGCAAACCATGGTCATCCGACCATCTATTTACACTCTCTAAATCATTGTTGATATAACGAATAGTCTTAGCTGTTTCTGAGGGCTTATAAGAAATTAGCAGTTGGGAATCATACGTATAAGAGTGTAAAGAACAGTGACTCAAATTATCTTTCAAATCTGCATTGTATATAAGGAATAAAATCGGCCCCAAGCAACTGCCTTGAGGAACACCGACAAACGAGAGCTGTCCATTAACCTTTGTACATTGTGTCCACCCGGTCAAGTACGATAAAAACCATCTCACCGAGATGTGAATGAACTATATAATTTTCGCCCCATATAACCGTCCCGTAAAACCCAATTCACATAGCCCGATCATGCTGGTAAGCAAATTCATTCAAGTAAGGTAAGCAAGTTTATCCCACCCGTCTTTAAGGCAAACTACATCGAAATCTGACAAAATTACTTAAGTCATCGAGTTCAGGAACGTTTATATATTTGATGTTTTATGCATACATATAACAATTTAAACGAATTTTTAACGCTCCAATCACACAGGGACCAAACATTGTTCAGGTTAATACTTTTCATTTTCGGGTCTTGTCCAATTCTTTTCATAACTAGTGCAACCAAAACTTTATTTTAAACGTAAAAATAAACAACAAAATTGTATTTACGTATGCATTATAACACAACCATAAAACATAACCGTATGATGCTTTGCTAGGACAGTGGCCATCTCTACAAACCTGGGTCTACGGTGACGCTAGACAGGGTAGATCGTCACCACGCAGGAGTGTATCAGTGTACAGCCACCAATGGTGTGGGACCACCTGCAGTTCTGGACGTACGGCTAGATGTGTTACGTAAGTATAACAACATGACAGTATGTTGCTATGCTAGGACAGTGGCCATCTCTACAAACCTGGGTCTACGGTGACGCTAGACAGGGTAGATCGTCACCACGCAGGAGTGTATCAGTGTACAGCCACCAATGGTGTGGGACCACCTGCAGTTCTGGACGTACGGCTAGATGTGTTACGTGAGTATAACAACATGACAGTATGTTGCTATGCTAGGTCAGTGGCCATCTCTACAAACCTGGGTCTACGGTGACGCTAGACAGGGTAGATCGTCACCACGCAGGAGTGTATCAGTGTACAGCCACCAATGGTGTGGGACCACCTGCAGTGCTGGACGTACGGCTAGATGTGTTACGTGAGTATAACAACATGACAGTATGTTGCTATGCTAGGTCAGTGGCCATCTCTACAAACCTGGGTCTACGGTGACGCTAGACAGGGTAGATCGTCACCACGCAGGAGTGTATCAGTGTACAGCCACCAATGGTGTGGGACCACCTGCAGTGCTGGACGTACGGCTAGATGTGTTACGTGAGTATAACAACATGACAGTATGTTGCTATGCTAGGTCAGTGGCCATCTCTACAAACCTGGGTCTACGGTGACGCTAGACAGGGTAGATCGTCACCACGCAGGAGTGTATCAGTGTACAGCCACCAATGGTGTGGGACCACCTGCAGTTCTGGACGTACGGCTAGATGTGTTACGTGAGTATAACAACATGACAGTATGTTGCTATGCTAGGACAGTGGCCATCTCTACAAACCTGGGTCTACGGTGACGCTAGACAGGGTAGATCGTCACCACGCAGGAGTGTATCAGTGTACAGCCACCAATGGTGTGGGACCACCTGCAGTGCTGGATGTACGGCTAGATGTGTTAACGTATACGGTATGTATTCTCTAGATTCTAAAACTTCGATAACTATCAGTTAATTTACAAATATACGTCCGTGGGATTAAAAATTGCTTCTGTTATTTAATAGCTGTCAAAGATAGCCGATGTCAGGAAGAACCTAATAATTTTTGTGACATATGTAACGGTTGATTTTACATCCGATCACATTTACGTTTTACAATATATTACATAGTGGCCTATGATAGTATCTTAGACGTAATGCAATCACAAGATTGCTTTCGTTGCCATTCGTAGAGTCAAAGGTAGTACGTACCTTTCATGAATTCTAACTTAAGAACTTTAACTTAGCAATCCATTAATTCACTAGCTTTAAGTAATCTTTTTATATTTAGATCCCCCTGAAATAGAAGTGGAGCAAGGGTGGGTGAACACGGCGGAGGGAAGCCAAGTAAAGCTTGTCTGCACGGTTTATGGAAACCCAACTCCCAATGTGAGTAACCATGTTTTGTTTCATCCTAGATTAGCAACAAAATCTTGTATAGACTGTTTCCAATGGCAAATCACCTAGGAAACCTATATGTTCATTCAATAAATCAAATCGTTCGTCTATTGATTCGTATATGTCTATGGTGAATATTATGGTTGACGTTCAATTTCAATATTGTTAAGCGGAATTAGGTTTATAATCCAAACTTTAATTTTACTCATAAATTTATGTTTGAGAGCAACAAATTGAAAGAATATTGTATGTTAACCTCGGAGAATCAACCAATTAACGATCCGAGGGACAATCAGGCGTATATTTCTACCATGGGTCATTTGACAAAACCTCGTTTAATTGATAGCCATTATTGCTTCTTCTACTAAATCTCAGGGTTATTTGTTAAAATTTTACCTATTACATAGCTTGAAATACATGTATTAAATCATGTTTTTATAATACGATACGCGTAACAGTGTAATACAACAATCCTTTTTACAAGTTAATCCTGATATTTAAGAAAATATTGTAGTATTTTAAGGGTGTTTGGTCAAAAATTTGATGTCTTATTTTTTGTTATTGTTCAATTGTACTAAAAATTAGAGATACAAATATATAAGAAAAAATTATTTATTTTGAATATTAAGCGAGATATGGAGCTTGAAAGTAGTAAATTTTTAATCTTTGGTACCAGTTCACAGGGAGAATGGGTAATGCGATTCTCACCAAAATTTGCATTCAGGTGTGGAAAAATAAGATAATAATCACTAGCTATTAAAAATTAAAAAATTAAAAAAAAAATTTATTTTTTATTTTTTATAAATTTTTTTATAAATTAAAAATTTTAAAAAAAAATTTAAAAATAGCTCTTTGTTTTTGGGAAAAATGTATCTGTATGTTGGAATAAAAAAAAATGTGATATGTTAACTCGTTTGGGCTGTGAATTCGTACCTTTGATGCCTTGCGCTGTCGGAGCACTACTCGTTGAGAGTGTGTACACTAACACCGGGGCTTTAGAATACAACGATAAACGTATTCTTTCAATGTTAAAGGATGTTAATAATTACGTGATGTTAAAGTATTCTTAAGCCCCGGTGTTAGTGTACAAACTCTCACCGAGTAGTGCTCCGACAGCGCAAGGCATCAAAGGTACGAATTCACAGCCCAAACGAGTTAACATATCACATTTTTTGTTATTCCAACATACAGATACATTTTTCCCAAAAACAAAGAGCTATTTTTAAATTTTTTTTAAAATTTTTTTAATTTTAAAAAAAAATTATAAAAAATAAAAAATAAATTTTTTTTTTAATTTTTTAATTTTAAATAGCTAGTGATTATTATCTTATTTTTCCACACCTGAATGCAAATTTTGGTGAGAATCGCATTACCCATTCTCCCTGTGAACTGGTACCAAAGATTAAAAATTTACTACTTTCAAGCTCCATATCTTGCTTAATATTCAAAATAAAACATTTTTTCTTATATATTTGTATCTCTAATTTTTAGTACAATTAAACAATAACAAAAAATCAGACATGAAAATTTGCGACCAAACACCCTTAAAGATTTGCTATTAAAAATAAGCTGTACTATGTACAATCAACTCAGCTAAACCTCATTAATAAAACTGTTTGAACAAAGCTTTAAAAAAAATAATAACAATGTGGTATGATTAACAAACGTCCATGATAAATATGATAACGTCTTTTGGAATTTAAAGCAGAGCATAAAAACGCCCCTCCTGAAATATCAATACAGTTCAATTTGATTTATGAGTATAGCCGATGTGGAAATCATAGGTCGACTGGGTGAATCCAGTCAATATCATGGATTTACTTTTGTGCGAACAAAGAGACTATTTTTGAAATAAACATAATTCATAGGTTACGATTAAATATTTTTAATTCGTTCAATGTAACATAGTTCGTTTAAACACTTTCTTGTGATTTTATAATGATAGTAATAATTTAAATTTTCCTTTGAAGAACATGTTTGCAATATTACCAGTTTATTATTGAGACCATACAGTATAAGTTAATTAAATAAACGAAATAAATGATATTACCACAAACAATATTTCTTATTCTTTGTGAGTGAAATGGTTATCAGGTATTTTTAATAAACTCACAACAAAACATCCTATGATAATGGTACATAAAAATACTTATTGAACAAGAATTATACAGTTTTTTCTAGAAGAATCTTTCAAAGAATGTGTTTTAAACTAAAAATTCCTAAAACTAAAGAATCCTCATTCTATGAGGCACGACTCCGAGAACTTTTCCGATAAAGATAGAAGTTTTCAGTAATCCTCCCAAACAACGCTTAGACTCACTTAACAGGAAATTGTCTATAAAAATGATAAACTTTGTTGTTGTGTTTTTAGGAGGGAATACAGCAAAAGCTCTATAATATTACTTACAGATTATTAACTTTAAAAAATCAAAGATGTTTGTTGATTATTAAAGAATCTTTTACATCTTACTTATGGATACTACTCTCTAGCTTAGAATCATTCTACACATTAAATTCAGGCTATGCCAAAAGGATAGCGGTATTGTCGCATTGCTAAATGCTGGTGGTGATTGCTGGTATTTGAACCCGATGTCTTGGAAAATTAATTCTCCCACCCATTGACCTTGACCCGGGCTAGAATATAGGAGAGTATAGTATTCCGCCCATATAATTTTTTTTGCAGGAGTCCCGATAAAGAGTTTGTTTCCTAAGGTAAAATAAGAACGCTATAAAAACTATTCACAACCACCACTAATGGGTGTTCTACAAGTGAGACAAGGGGTCCAAATCCCGCAAATCACCAATGTATTTTCACAATGCCGTCATATTTTAGGTCCAGCCAAAAGTAATATGTAAAACTGTTCTGGAATAAATATTAGCTTGCTATGGTGTAAATGTAAGACGTAAATGTTTGTCAGTTGCTGTGGTACCACGAGGGTGCTCTAGTCGTGGCCACCAAGAGGTACTCTACAGATACAGTCAACAACAGACACTCTCTATCACTAGCACCAGTGCTGAGACAAGACTTTGGAAACTTCAGCTGTGTTGCGGAGAACCCACTTGGTCGCTCAAAACACACTATCCAGCTTTCCGGTGAGTCTTCTATGGTGTAAGGGTTGCACTATCTTGTTTAATATTTACAAGCACTCATACACTGGGCCATTAGAGATGGAGGCAATGCCAGTCTATTGGTTGTAGAGATAGCTTACGCTATGCAATAGAGCCACTACCTGAACAATTTCTCAAATTCTCATTTGCAGATCCGCCTCTTAAGAAGGCTGTAATTTCGGCAACTCAGACAAGAACCTCACTATGTGTGAACACTTTTTCGTGTAATATCCATGAAATAGTTTCGAATTTCTTAACCTTAATATTTTTTTACCTCGATGCATACTCATGAAAATAGCAAGTCACACATTACAACAGTCGAGAGTAGTGCTGCCTCTTGAATCATCGCTTTACTTGCAGGTAAGCCGGGCAAGCTGAGGGTTGTCAGCTCACCATACAGTTCTTCATCTCACAGTTACAACTTTGTCTGGAGAGTGGACAGTGCCTCACCGCTCGAGGAGTGCAGAGTTCTTTACAGGAAAATAATGGTAAATTAAGACTGGAGCTGTAATAGATTTTAGTAAGGACACTTTTGGCATAAATATTTCTTTAACCTTCAAATCATGATTTGAAGCATACTTTATTGGTTGCTTTATATGAAGTAAATCGTAGGCTTTGTCAAGTCGTAATCGTTCAAAAAAGACATTTTTACAATCGCTTATTACTTTTTTTTCAGCAGTATCGTGAAGATAATATTAACCTACGCCGGTTTACATGGTTTTGCACATTATTTGGCATAAGTTTATTTAATACTTGTTACATTAACATAGCTTTACCTACAAAGATTTATCCAAGGAGATTGGACAGAGTGAAACAAAACCTCCAAAGCTGATGAAGTGAGTGGCTAATGGATAAATAATCCCCGAACGTCCAGTTGCTGTTAGTAGCCAGATTATGGTGCATTTCCATTAGGCTGATTCCATTCATTGATCACGGATTGATCAAGAGGTTTTGACAATGACCTGCGATAACAGACACAATCATGTTTCTACTCTTACCACCATGTTTGATGTGGTTACTGTAAACAAGAATGTATCAATTCCTATATTTGAATGAATGTGTGTACCGATTTTATCCCCACTGGAAATCCATTTAAATGTGTTCATACTCCTTTTCAACCAACCCATAATTACCGTAGGGTTCCAGTCACTATTCCTTTTGTTTTTAGTTATTCTACATTACTAAAAAGATAAAATTTAATGGTTTACAAATATAAGACAAACATTATGAAACATAAATTTTAATAAAGACAAATATATTCTTTAAATATATTCATTGAACTTATGCTAAATGATAAATAGATGGTTTGAAAAGCTATGTCATTTAAAACTTAAACAACCTATCAAATTTGATAATCAAATAATTAACATAGCTATTTAGATGGATATCAAAAAGTCCACAAGCACAATTAATAAAATTTTAAATTTTTTTCAATGTAAATCTGCTATCATTTCTTCAATTGTCCCTTAAATAATAAAAACACTAATTGGTTATTCATCTGTTACTGATGTATCTTTTTTTACCTGTTGAAAACTCACCCTTGTCACTAATTTATGGTATTTCTTTTTAAAATAAAAAAAAAACATCTCCCGTGTCACTTAAATGTTACTTATCTCTTTTTTAACCATTTTGTTACTAATCATCTGCCAATCTCCTACATAACATCTACCCTCAGCAGCATATTACTACTACCTACTAATACCTATTGTTAACCCCCACAGATCAACGACTCCCATCAGCAGGTTGGACCCTGGCTGGAGACTAGGTTTCGTCCTCCGTCGTCCTCCACCCTCAGTCTCCTGCTCGGCGACCTTCAGCCGTCCTCGGTCTACCAGGGTCAGACTCAGGTTCGCAATCGCTACGGTTGGAGTGATATGTCCGAGCCATTCCAGTTCTATACGAGGGGGGACACTCACGACCTCTTTGGTAATTTGACAAGCTTACTTATATCTCGTACCTTTGGTAGGTGAGAGCGAGCTGGTTTAGCGGTAGAGTGCGGGCTTTGTGGTCCCTAGGGTCTTGATTTTTTCTCTTGAATCACCAATGGTGTTTATCCATGGGATAATGCCGTGGCCCTATAGGACCATCCTAAAGTAATGCGTTAAACGGGTTTGGACTACAACTTAGCGTCCAAGGCTATAAGGATCTTTATCAAAATGGAAAAAGAAGAACCTACGATGGGTGGTAGATAGCTGGGAATCTGAATCATAATGGCGCTTTCCTGGTCAGAAATTGATGGCGAAAGTAAGTCATTTGTTATGCTTTGAAGAAGGACACATCCTTCTTTATGGTTTGGCTTTTTAACCGACTTCCCCACTACCAACAAAAGGAGGAGGTTCTCAATTTGTTTGTGGCGATGTTTTTTTTTTTTTCTATGTATGTTCATCAATTTCTTTGTGATTCTTTTACCGATCAGTGTGGTTCCACCACCAAAATAACCAGGAAAGTTTCTATTTGGTACCTTATATATTATGTTTAAGTATAATATTTGTTTCGGTGAAAAATTCTGAAAACCTTAAATATTCAACACTTATTTTGTTTACATTTGTGCAGATTGTTTACATTTGTGCAGAGAAGGCAATAAATAATAATAACATTCCTACAGCTGTTAGTTGAAACCCATTTAAATGAAGCTACAGACAATTCTTCATGAAACAGTTGCTTCATATTGATCAATAAACTATTTCTTGCCATGGAGCCTAAATGAATAACATTGAAAAAAATGCATTTTGTTTTGGTTACTATAAAAAATGTATTTTAACGCTTGACCTGATTTGTGTATACAGTAATTCTGTTTTTAGTAGAGAATATTCTGAATTACAAAAACATATATGTTTCAGTGAATAGCTGTATGATATTGACAAATAAAGGTGTATTGTGAAAACCAAAGCATTCGTAAAACAGGTCTAAATATAAATTAAATGCAATTATTCCTTACACGACCTAAGAAGTGTGACAGTGCATAATCGTCAAAAGTGTTAAATATTTTAATTACTAAACATGCATTTGCAGATGTGGAATGTTTATTGATATTCTCTACCCGGTTACTATATCATATCAATACTATTATGTCTGCTTCGGAAAGTTCTAGAGGAAGATGATTATGCAGTTTTGACTAGGCTATATCTTGATCAAACAAAACCACCTACATGGCTTGCACCACTTTTAGCTGAACCAATCTTTCATATACATATTTCATTTGCAGATGTGGAATGTTTATTGATATTCTCTACCCAGTTAATATATCATATCAACTCTATTATGCCTGCTTCGGAAAGTCCTAGAGAAAGATGATTTGCAATTTCGACTAGGCTATATCTTGAGCAAACAAAACCCCCTACATGACTTACACCACTTTTAGCTGAACCAATCTTTCATATAATATTTTCCAAAGGTACTATACGTGTTAACGACCAATTTTCCACTTTTGAGAGATATTTTAGTGCTGGTGGCTGAGGAATAACTTTCATATTGTTTATTGATACGTTACTGTATTTCTTTTTATAATGTAGAAGTACACCGATTGCAGGAAACGATGATGTCTGACATTTCATTAGGCCTAATGTAATGGAGCTGGCGTAGTGGTTAGAGCGCGGGACTTCAGTCCCTGAGGTCCCGGGTTCGACCCCCGCCAAGTCACCAATGGATTTTATCTAAGTGATAATGCCGCAACCCCTAGGTCTAGGCTCGTGCCTAGCGTCCTTAGGACAAAAAAAATGTAATTGACAACTCTTTTTTTCTTAAGGAATATCAAAAAATGTTTATTTTCATACCCATTGATTATGTAACCTGAACAGGTGACTCAAACAGTTTTAAAATAATGATTGTTCTGTGGAACTTTTGATCGTTTCAAACAGTTTTGCTTATCAAAAAACCTCGAGTAATTAATACATAAAAAATTATACAGTCACTAAAAATCATGAAATAATTTATTTTTGTAAAAAAATACAACCGACTTCAAACGCTCTAAAAAGAATGAAATAATTTCAATAAAGTAAACTTTTGTATTAGGCAAGCTCACGTATTTCAAGTCGGTGCGGCTCAAACTGCAAATATGATTGAAATTAAATATTGTGTGTATATTTTGAAAATCAATAAATTGTAGCTGGATAACATAAATATATAAAAAACATACTGAACTGTTTTGTTTATATATTAAAGGAAATATTTTCTTGTATTTTATGTTTACTTCAGAATAAATGCATTATGAAAATAACACACACAAATGTTCTATATGAATAGGAAAATAATTTAGTTTGATATTATGATAGGGAAAAGAAGCTAGTTTAGTATTAAAACGTTACTTTTCCAAGTTAAAAACATTTAAATGCGTTATAATCTTTTTAAAGATACTCTAATACCACTATAATGCCGATCTCTGATTACGGTAATAAAATAACACTTAACGCATAACTATGAAAAAGACATGCAGATTAACACCTTTAGTTATAGATAGTGACCTGCAATATGGGCACCCTCTTTTAATTTTCTATCAAAAATCATCATAGAGCCGCGCCGACTTAAAATACGTGAGCTTGCCTAATACAAAAGTTTACTTTATTGAAATTATTTCATTCTTTTTAGAGCGTTTGAAGTCGGTTGTATTTTTTTACAAAAATAAATTATAATCACCAATGACGTTTGTCCATGAGAAATGCCACGACCCTTAGAGCCAATCCTGAGGTGATGCGTAAAACGGTTTTGGGCTACAAATTAGCGTCCAAGGCTTTAAGGATCTTTATCAAAATGGAAAAAGAACAACCTACGATGGGTGGTAGATAGCTGGGAATCTGAATCATAATGGCACTTTCCTGGTCAGAAATTGATGGCGAAAGTAAGTCATTTGTTATGCTTTGTTGAAGGACACATCCTTCTTTATGGTTTGGCTTTTAATTTAAGGTCCTGGAAGCTTCTCAATGCAGTGGTTTTCGTTGATTTGTTTCTGTAACATTTTCTTCTCATACATATTCAATAACTGATGGTCAAAAGAATGATTTATTTAAATTACCCATTCAAAACTGTCAAACTGGAAGTAAAACACGACAGTATAATGTGTATCCATCCAATGTACCTGAATGGTCGTAGTGATGTTATTACAATATTTCCTAAGTTTCTTCATCGTAAAAAAAAAATAAAAATAAAAATATAAAAATAACTTACACAAAATAAGTGCGATAAAAAATGTATGACATTGCAATTTAACCAAGATAACAAATACTGTCTTAACTTAGATTTTGGCTGTACAAAAATTAGAATAATTAATATTACTTTGTGCTGAAACAGTTCAAACCATAGTAAAACAATGATGCAATGTTATGTAGGCTATAATACTTATTAAATAAAAAAATCCTACAGGGCCAGCAAGTAAAAACATTTTATCTGATGTTCAAATTCTTTACATTTCTATCGGACAGAACACGTATGTAAATATAAAACCTCTTGTTGCAGAAAACAACGTGGAACACCTGTCATCTCCATCAGCTTCCGTACATCGAAGAGGCTTTACGCTGAGTCTGGCGATGTTTCACCTCTTTTTACAATTTATATAACACGTATTTTAACTTTGTAACATCGCCTAAGTTTTTAAATATGTATAGGATAACTGTTGATCTATTTAAAAGCTGTGTTATGTAAATAATCATGTATAATATTAAACTATATGTAACTATTTTTTGAGTTGTAAATAAAACGTGAAAAAAATAAACTTAATAATTTAAAAATACAAACACTAAAATTATAGTAAAAAAAGTCTTTATTGTTAAATAACTGATTGTGCCAGAAAGTAAAAAGGTATAACGATTTTAAATGTTTGTATTAAATGAAATATATAAACTGCAGTCAAAACAATTCAATGTCAATTCATCTAGAATGAAAACCATTGATGAGATGCAATTATGTAAAATATTTTTAAATATAATGAGTAACGTGTAGAGGTCTAAGATAAACAAAATATGAGGTACAATTTATTTCACCCTGTAAGCTACACCCTACCATATGGTTTACACTATTGGAAAATCTTGATTATAATCATAATTTTAAAATATTAACACTTTTTAGCAATACAATTTTGTATGGAATAAAACGGAAAAAACAACAAATCATGAATTCATAATAAGTGCATATTTCAACCACTAAACAACCTTAAACCCACAAATGTAATTATACGAAGTTTTCTGCCAGTTTTTTATTTTTTTTTGTGTAATGTAAGATTTTATAGTGACAGGAAATCACAAAACTGTATTAACAGATGTATACTATATTCCAATTAAAATGTATAAAATGAAATGTATATTTATATTTTATTGTTTATCATTTCATTGTACAGTATAAGGATGCTATGTAAATAGAAAAATGGGTGTTTAATGTTAAAATATATATATAAAAATATGGATGATTTATTTGTAAATATTATGTACAATAATAATTTATTAAACTTTTATTTTATTGATATTTGTAAGAGAGTGATTTATAAACCTCAGTATTGAGCTCTTAAAATCATATTTCCTCTGACAAAAACATCTAGTATACAGACAGCATTATGCCAAAAGTATGTCATTGCTTTGATAATTTTAAAAATCCCGTTAGATTATGGTGTTTTAAGGGAACAAAATCATTTTTCTGATAAAAGTATGTGTTGATTTGACCTCTTTTTAATTTCATATGACTGTCACTTCGCAGAATTTTAAACAGGATAACTCATGGAAGGGACCAGGGCATCTAAACCACATAACATTTCACTACACAACGTTAGTAAGACCATGCAATATTAAGTGCATAAAATCACGCATAAAACTATAGTCCACTTTCAGTTTTCACATGACAAATGTCGCTGTTTCAAAATTGCCAGTTTTATGGCTGGATATAAGCATTGTGTCATTTCGTTGGTGGAGTTTGGCTCCATGTAAAAATTAGTTTTATCGCTAACCTAATTATAATAAATTTACTAGGCATAGCCATTTCACATGAATCATTACACTGACTATTTCTTTTTGTGGTGTGCAATAATTCAACACTCTTAAATTTCACCTTAAATATGTAGATACATTAATCTTATGAAATGCAAAGGGAAAAAGCTCACTTAATTCAACTAAAAAGTAATAAACACCAAAATTAGCAAATATTTTATACAATTACTGTTGATAAATTTAATATACAAGGGGCGTTCGTTCTAGCCTTAACTTTCGCTCAAGAACAACATAATGTTATTTCATATTTGCACGATTTGAAACGTGATTTTATTCTTGTATTATAAATTCTACACACACAACCAGAGAATTGAAGTATTTTCAATAGGAATCACCGTACATTATTTGCTCCTAGTTAGTTGTAGAATGACCGACACTTCACTTACAGTGCAAATTAACGCTGTGTTTCAACAGAATTCGCTCTACAAACATGAACTAACAATAAACTTACCAATCAGTCCGAGTTAATCAGACAAAGCGTTCAGAGTTCAATCCTGTAGTGTTTGGTGCACTGTTTACACGACCTTTGTCGTATAATGAACTACAATGTGTTGTGCCGTACAATGAAAAACTGGTCCGGTCAGTTTTATGAATCAGTTTTTTTTTCTGTGGCAAGTTCAAAAACAAACATCAGAAGTTTGGCATGGACCCCTTTGTTAGCTTCACTATAAAAGCTAGAATAAAGCAGAGTATAGCATGTTACAGATGGGAAGCTACTGCAACATTTTAGATATATAATGAGGAATGTAATGAGAATTCAGAGATTCAAGATACAATAATAGATACAGGAAGAATATAGTCCAATTAATTAAGCTAAGTTATGTTCCTAATATTTGATTCGAATATATAGAACTATTTGGAATACAAAACCACTATTACTAGAACTTAAATTGGAACAGTTACTTGTATCAAATTGCTTGTAGGACTTAGGCAATGAATTGTTTTAATCAGACATGAGGAATTTCACTCGATCATTTACTCAATTACAAAATCCAGTATTAAATAGATTGCAAGAGGACTATTGTCATAAACAATTCTATGTTAATTCTTTGAACTAGTTTCTAGCCAAGCATATTTATTGTATTACTGTTTCACAAATATTTGTCATTTTAATTAGATATTACATTTAATAAAACGACCAAATGTCATTTATTTGCCATTAACACGGCAACTAAACGCAGAACCAATATAGCTTGGGCATTCATAATTAATGTTATAAACTATGCATTGATGCTTTGAGTTTAATTATTCCTGGGATTTTAGGTCAACTGAAACACAAATTGACAATGAAGTAGAGTTTACATAAAATGTTTGGTGATTTATTTGTGTAGGTTTACAAGTTTTTAACATAGTATAAAAATATTAAAAATATTAAAAATAATCTATCAGAGTACATTTTACGAATAGTCAATCAATGTACATCCAAGAACGTATTATCTAAAAATATTTGTCATAACCCTAACGTTCTTTAGAAAAAATCGTCTGCATTTTTATATATTTTTAAATCACTGAGACTATGGTAGAAAAGATTAATACAGGTAAAGTTACTGGTAATATGACTAAAAGAATGTGTTTGTATAGGTTAGAAGATTATTTTGTTTATTCAACATACAGTTGAATGTTTTAAAATTATGTATAACTCCTTCCCAATCAATATTACAATTAATTGAACAATGTAGGTTTGAGTACGATAACCTAAAACATGTATACTATAGATGTATAGTGCAGACTGAGTAATTATGTGTTTAAGAAATTTTGCACTACATTAAATCAAAATTAACGTGTCAAGCCATTCCACTCACTCTAAATAGTGGAAACCAAAAATGCATTAAAATATTTCGTTCTTGAAACGAGTAATGAAATAAAATACTTAAAATTACTCCTTTAAAAGAACTTTATTATTTAAATAACTTAAATATATTTTTGTTGTAGTTGATTGTTTTAAACTTAAAACTTCCACCTGGGTTTTATGTTCATTGTTGCTTAGAAGAGAATGTATAATTTCTTATTAATGGTAGCAAATTAATATAGGTTTTTTTCATTCATTTCTTGTTATGGGTTAAGACATTTTCTAATTCCAACCTACTTCTATAAATAATAACAATAAAATACCATTGACGTCATGTTCCAGACATTCGTTTTAAATATTTATGGATCATATATTGGGTGGCTCAGCTCATCGGTTATGAGTTTGAGCAAAGTAAAAACTAAATATAAATAAAAGATGAATGAAACACATTAAGTACCTCAATTAAGGTCGTGGAAAGTACTATTGTTTACTCAATATTCAAACTTACGTACAAACAATATCAGATGAATTACACAAACTGCAAGCTATCACAAACTGTCCAACTGTTCTACCTTCCTGACTATCACAGTTTACTGTTGACTAACAGTTGTCTGGATAGTTTGCACATCTGTCTTTGCCTTCATGGCAGGCGGATTTAATATCAATAGATTATAATGTATATTTAATTAATTTCACAAGTATTTAATGTGTGTTTAAATCATGATATTTCGGTTTCAATATTCTGGATAGAAACAAATTATGAAACTAAGTTTGTGAATTACGCTTAAAATATGATTAACTTTGGGTTATAAATATAGACATAGATTGAAATGGTTATCAGATACACCACAATAATGATATGAATGAGTAAAACCATGTAAGCTTTAACATATTGAGTTCAAAAACCTATATTGTATATCAAAGTGATGCTGTTCCTGTCAACATTGCACCAAAACAAAATGAAGATTACTTGATAGTCTTGCTACTAATACTTAGTCCAAATGGTCCTGTTTGGGAAACTTTGATCCCAGAGGTGCTGTAACTTCTACCAACTACTGCCTTGCCAATATTATAATAGCCATGTAAGTTAACAATTGTATTGTCTTAATAATAACTCAGTAACCAAATACACAGCATTAATAAGTTTTCATTATCAAATAAGTATTACAGATACTGATTTTATAATTCGTTTACTATGTGGTTTATGGTCCCGATTCTAAACACCGATTGGACAAAAATAACTAAACAAACATACTAAGATGAAATAATGAAGATAAGTGTTAGGACTGAAAACCATTAAAGACTTTAGATTTTTTTTTTTTACTGTGGTGCTATTCCGAATCTTAGCCTACCTTAGCTCTTAATTACTAAAGTAATTCGTTTACAAACACTGCAAGTTTAAATAGCTTAAGTTGACCAACACCAAGCTTGTTATTCTTTTAACACCAGTTTTTTGTTAATTGTTTTGATAAATGTGGAACCTCGATAACAAGACCATCGATAAAAAGCCACCCTTGAAAACAAGTGTCACTTTCAAATCCTCTTGGAGACCCCTAATCACATGTTATTATAAACCTCGATAAGAAGTCAACCTTAATAGTAGTCTTATTTTTCCCCCCATGAGAGTCTGGTTTCGAGGTTCTACTGTAGCTCTGTCTGATAATTTGATTTTCCTGAAGACATACATAGACTGGTTTTCGATGCATTACATATATTTAGAAACGAATGTAAACTCATTCGTTTGGCGATCTCTTGTTGCCACAAAAACGTAAGTGGTTTTAGCATTGAACACTCAATGGCTTTTAAATGTAACAAAGAACAATATGCGAAAAAAATACATAGTCACAC